CCCAGTGGCATAGCAGTTAAGTTCGTGCATTCCGCTTCGGTGGCCTGGGGTTCGCCAGTTCTGATCCCAGGCACAGACCTATGCACTGCTTATGAAGCCATGCTGTGGCAGGTGTCCCACATATAAACTTGAGAAAGATGGGCACAGGTATTAGCTCAGGGCCAATGTTCCTCAGCAAAAAGAGAGGATTGGCATTGGACGTTAGCTCAGGGCAAATCTTCCTCAAAAAAAAAACCCCAAAGAATTGAATTTTGGAATATTGAGTTTTAGTGCTTTTGACATAGCTACAAGGAAATGTTAAGCTGACAATTGATTATGTAAGTCTATGGAAGAGGACTGGGCTCAATATATTGCTTTTTGAACTCAACCTTCCTCAACCTTCTTACCCCTTGTTATGTTCTGAATGTTTCTGTCCCCCCAAAATATATATGTTGAAATCCCAATGTGATGGTATTAGGAGGTGAGGCCTTTGGGGGGTACCTAGATCATGAGGGTTAAGCCCTCATAAATAGGATTAGTGCTCTTATAAAAAAGACTCCACAGAGCTTCCTACTCCCTTCTGCCATGTAAGGATACAAGAAGTCTGCAGGCCAGAAGAGGGCACACTAATCTTGGACTTCCAGCCTCCAGAAGTGTGAGAAATAAATTTCTATTGTTTATAAGCCACCCAGTCTATGGAATGTTGTTATAGCAGCCCAAACAGACTAAGGCACTCATATAAAAATGATTCTAGGGGGCTGGCCTTGTGGCGTAGTGGTTAAGTTGGGCGTACTACACTTCAGTGACCCAGTTTCACAGGTTTGGATCCTGGACATGGACCTACACCACTGGTCAGTCACGCTGTGGTGGCGACCCACATATAAAGTGGAGGAAGACTGGCACAGATGTTAGCTCAGGGCTAATCTTCCTCAGCAAAAATAATAATCATCATCATAATCATAATAAAAAATAAAAATGATAGTATCTACAACTCATGGTACCTTATTGTGATCAGTAAGCTGTAGGCATAATAATCTAATAATTACTGTCAATGCTCTTTTGAGTAAGTGATAATTTTCTGTTACTCTGTTAAGGTAACCAAACATTTAGCCTAATCTTTTTGTGAAGTCTCCCCCTGCCCCAGAAAGGATATCACCTCCAATACAAGTTAGTAGTGTAGATAGAGAAATCTTTAGTTTTTCCTTTTTAAAAGTTTCCTACTTGATTTTAAAAAAATTACATATCCATGTAGGTATTATCACATATCTTCTGTACAATATACTAATAAAGTATGATACATGGTGTATAATAAGTGCAAGGATAGCTTTTCTTCCATATTTGAAAATTGAAAATGACTTTCTAGCCAGCCTTTCCTGGGGAGAAAAAAAATTAGTTAAGCAAGATTTACCTTTTTAAAAACATTAATCTACTTCTTTCTTTTCATAAATTTTAAACTCGTAAGGCATTACACAAATCTACAAATGTGATAAAATTGCATAGAACTATACATACATATACACACAAGTGCGTGTAAAACTGGTAAAATCTGAATAAGGTCTGTGAACTGTAGCAATGTCACTGTCCTAGTTTTTGTAACTTTTTTTTGTTTGAGGAAGATGGGCCCTGAGCTAACATCTGTGCCCATCGTCTTCTACTTTATATGTGTGCCTCTTGCCACAGCATGGCTTGATAAGCATTGCGTAGGTCCGCACCCAGTATCCGAACCAGTGAACCCTGGGCCACAGATCAGAACACGCGAACTTAACCACTACACCACCAGGCTGGCCATGTCAATATCCTAGTTGTATAGTTACATAAGATGGTACCATTAGGGGAAACTGGGTGAAGCATACATGTAAACTCTCTGTACTATTTTTGCAACTTCCCATGAATCTATAATTATTCAAGGTAAAAAGTTAAAAAACTCATAAGGCAAACAAAAGAATTTTCTGTTACATAACTGGTTTATGCCAAAATGGAATTTAATTTTTCTAAAGGTAGGCCCAGGAGATTTAGTCAATTTTAGTTAATGTTATGTAGAATATGAAAATTCCCTGAAAATATTGAATAGTAAGGCTACTAAAATTGTATACCAAAACAATATGAATAAAAATGTAACCTAAAACAATTTTATACAAGGCTTTAAAATATTTTCAGATGGAGTGACATAATCAAGCTCCACTATAAATCTGGCAGTTATAAAATCATTATGTACTTGGGTTGGTTTCTTGATCTCTTTCATTGGCCTATGTATGCATTAAAATGTTTTTATAACTAAAATGGAACAATGAAATTTATCCCTTCAGTATGAAACATGCTCGTTTTGCTGCACAGATACTCAATTCTGGTTTAGATTTAAGCACACATAGATTTCATTTTCAAACGAAATGAGATGATTTTTGTCCTTTCTCTTGTTGCTTGTTACATAAGAAAAAGCTTCTTCACATATATAAGAAGTTGGCAAATACCAACAAAGTGTTCATTGTTCGTTGCAGGATACTCTTCTTTCATAGAAATCTAGAACTTATCTGGGGGCAGATCAGTAAATCTCACCCTGAGTATTCTGTCGTGCTGCAGTGACCCAGTTCTTCCTCGTCCTTCACAGGGAAGTTGTCAGGCTGAGTAGAAGGTTCGGAGAAAGGATTCCTCACCCAGTAATACACTTGAGTTGAAAGAGCGGAAAAATTACTCTTAAGTTTTGTTCTGCAGTTTTTCCAGGGAGCTTTCAGTAAAATTTGAAACTTACTGATATTTTTCCTCACTTTGAGCCCAAATAGCAGTGGAAACATTTTTAAGGTTTCCTTTTTGAATAGACTTTTTTCCATAGGTTGTTTCCTCTTAAAACCACTTATATTTATTATCTTTACATTGTTACTTGGAAAATAGCAAGAATATTATACATGGTGTAGTAAGAAGGAATTAATTGAAAATTAGTGTTCTGTAATTCTGGATACGCATCCTAGAGTTGACAGCCAATTAGCTGGTTCTTACTGTGCTTTACCTTAAGACAGCTGTACTCCCAGAGTGATTTGGAATCTTTCCCCTTGTTTTCTAATATTATCCTTTACTTGTTAATTTGTTAAGCTAACTACCAATTTTTTTTACTTTTCTATTGCATTTTCTTACGTACGCCTAATTGTGTTGGGGCTGTCCTGGGGGATCTGCCAAACTGCTGTTGCTGACATTCCTACATATGTCCATGATATTCTCCTACTTTGAATGGAATGGAAAATACTACGAACTTGTAAACTAAAGGTGCCTTTTTGAGGTTCTGGCATCCACGCTATGACAAACTGCTAAACATATACAATTCTTTATCACAGCATTCCTTAGCACTGTAATTTATATATCCTTTTTTGGTTTAGTTTAAGGACTTTAAGTGCAGTCCTTTCTAGAGGGCAGGAAACAGTTGTTAAGGTCCCTTCCTGCCTCCTGATTCCAAAACCTTTAATGTCACTGCTGTACTAATGACTTCCTGATCTAAATCTTCCTCTTGTTAAATCAAGAAAAGTAATTTTTGTACCTATTGAAAGTGGAATTTTAGTTAAATTTCAACTTTTTCATTTTCAACTTAGATTAATACAAAGAAGCAGGAAGTAAAATTGAGAGACTATTTTAATCACAAGATTCTATAATAGCATCTACAGGGACTATTTTTAAATTTTAAGTAGAAAAGGACAGTGAATTCAAAAGTGTTTGTGTTGTGTCTCTAGTTGAGTAAATTCCCTTATAAAAACTTTTTAGAATTCTATAATGTTAAACCTGGAAAGAACTTTGAATAGGAAACTGGAGATCAGAAAACATTAATGATTTGTTGTATTAATTAGTAGCTAAGCTAGAGCTTAGCTTCAGAATGCAAACTTATTATTATAGTTAATTACAGGAGTTGTCACAAACAGACTAAGATGTGACTCATAATTGAGCCACTCACTGATTGAAGTTTAAGCCAAAATTTTAATGGCAGTTCTCAAAAGCTAACCTAGAATTTAGAGTAATGTGCAAATTAACCTCTTGTTTGTACTATATGTGATCTTCAGGGAAGGAGTCTGTGTTAAGAGTGTTCTGGTTTTGCTGTTGCCAAAATTGTTTTCTAAAGTACCACTCCAGTCATGTGGCTTCTAGTTAACAACGTTGATGGTTGTTTACTAGTGCATGTTGTCTGGTCCTATAAATGTATTTTTTTCTTCTTAATTCCACTATGACCTCAAGCAAGTCCTTTACTATTCTAATTTTCTTTTGACCATAAAATGTAGCATTTGTACAATTGTGATTATTTGTAACCTTTAAGGTACTGTGCAGACTATGAATGGAATTTATTTTGTAATATGGATAACTGAATCTTTACCCCTTTTTAGAGCTGACCTAAAAAAAAAAAACCTTTATTTTTGCCAAAACTAAAGATGAATGATACAATTATGTAAAGGAAAGAGTAGCTGGAATAGCTGGGAACTCTTTCTAGTCAGATTTGTCCAGGACTAAGCATTAATATATGAAATAGTTAGCATAAATATTTAGTGATGTAAATGAAAGAATGTATGAATAAATACATGAACAAATAGAGAAAAATTATCTACAGTTTGTCTTTAGCAAATTATCTAATGACTTGTATATATACATATTTAATGCTTTTAAAAAGAATTTATACAATCACTTTGTTCTGAAGCTCATAAAGTACGTAATAATCAAGGGAATCCACAATGATATCATGTAATATATTTTGTATATATCTTCCATTTAAATTTTTAAAGTTACTGTTATTAGTCTAGATTCTGGTACCAGTCTAACTGATTAGCTTTGAAACCTTTCATATGTCTTCACCTCTCTCATCTTTCATTTTCTTCTAAAATAAAAGATAGTTTTTAGATATCTACCAACTATAAAATAAGAAGATTGTATGCAATAGCAAATGTTCATAGTTAGAGATCTTTAAATGATAATTATCTTAGTTGTATATATCCTCATGTTGGTTAAGATTCACACATTTTACCTTGGTTTATAGTTTTGTCTTCTTTTCCCTGAAGATCTCAGTGGTTCCATAGCATCCCCAGATGTCAAATTAAACCTTGGTGGAGATTTTATCAAAGAATCTACAGCTACTACATTTCTGAGACAAAGAGGATATGGCTGGCTTTTGGAAGTCGAAGATGATGATCCTGAAGATAACAAGCCACTCTTGTATGTAAAATTAATAGTATGTATTTTTTGGTTTTTAGAGCTAGTCTGTGGGATGATTATATTCTTTCATGTTATTTAAAGACAAGTATGGAAAATCTTAACCTTTTTGGTCAAAAGTTGTAGCTATTTTCAGTTTTACTAGTAATTAGAAAAACAGAAATAATGAGAGAATACTTTTAACTTATTGAATGGCAAAAATTAATAGAATCATAATCCTTTATCACACACACGCAAATATACTCCAGACTGTTAAAGCTTACCTGGGTCTATAGCTGTCTCAGGTAAACATGCCATCTAAGGAAAAAAGCAGGGTTCTTGCGTGCTTACTGTGGAAATTCAGTTTAAGACAGATTAAGACTTCCAAAAAGGTTACCCTCCAAAATCCCTCCCACGTGGAAACTCTAGAGCTGCCACAGGGAGGACTAGAGGGAGACTCACTTTCTTCATAGTACTTGAAATTTTTTAAGTTATTATGTATCACTTGGAAACAAAAGTAAAGAATTTAACAATTTTGGAAAGAAGAACCTACAGCTTTCTAAAATTGATGCGTTACCAAGTTATTCTCTGTAGTAATTATTGGTAGATCAAGTGCTAAAACATCCTGTTTCTTGATGTTAATATACTATATTTTATCAAATCTAAGATGCTATGGATTATAAAATGCAGTTATTTTACATTTGTCAGTAATAAAGAAAAAGTGTGTAAGATAGCATAAAGCCAGGACATCCAAGAGCTATCTCTTTAGTCTGAGGATAAATGAGAACTAACCCACCATACAAAAAAAGACAGCAAGGAAGTCTGCTTATCTCAGTTTGACCTGGCTGGGGTGTTGGAAGAAAAATTTCCTCCGAGAATGTAAATCCCACACCAGTTCCCTTGTAGGATTGCAGTCTGAATAATAAGTATGGTCCAAAAGGGTCTCAAGCAGAGAATTTTATTTAAAGCCCTCCCAAATTGGTAGTGCCCCGAGGAGACTGGCAAAAGGAAAGGCAGATCTTGAAGCCTTTGACTTCACTCCAGGTTGACAAAAGACACCGGTGATTGTGAGATGCATCCCAACTTTAGAGATGTTGAAATGTGCACTGTAGTATCAGTGAAATATTTGGTACTTCAAATGTTTTGTTGACCTATGGAGGCTCTCCCATCATGTTTAAACTTTCCTTAAATTCTACTGCAATTGTCTCAGTATTCAAAAGTGTATGCCTTTTAAGAATTTTTATGTTAAATTATAGGGAGGAATTGGATATCGATCTAAAGGACATTTACTACAAAATTCGATGTGTTTTGATGCCAATGCCATCGCTTGGTTTTAATAGACAAGTGGTGAGAGACAATCCTGACTTTTGGGGTCCTTTGGCTGTTGTTCTTTTCTTTTCGATGATATCATTATATGGACAGTTTAGGGTAAGTATATCTTAATTTATACAAGTTCTAAATATTGAAGAGTTTTAAAGTTAAAAATAGCCAAATATTAACTGTAATACTACATTATGTTTGAGAAATGCTTTACCTTTACCCATTATTTCTCACTTGTTCATCCCTAGAACAATTCTTACTTAAATAAGTGGGGAGTATGTTAGATTAATGCTTTCCAAACTTTCCCACATCATCATTCACATAGAAAGTATGAATACTTGTATGGCAACTGGAGTAAATGGATGAGACTACTCCAAGCTGACCAGAAGTGACCAAACATGCCCTTTCTGATTTCCCAAAGGGATGAAGAATTTGAAACCCAGTACTCATAATCATGTCCTTACCTTTCATTTTTAGTTCTGTTTTTTAAACTAAACATTTTAATAAATGATGACAAGGATTCCATCAGCATTTGTTTTTATGTAATACTTTGTCCTATTCTCAGGCACTTTATCATCAGAACACAACATACACATATCACTCCCTCATCCCTAGTTTAAGGCTTTAGGGGATTAAAAGAATAACTCTTTTACTACAGGGTGATTTGGAAATTAATTCGTTTCCTATTGCTCCTGAAACAAGTTTCTGCAAGTCCAGTGGCTTAAAATAATGCAAATTTATTCATTTACAGTTCTGAAAGTCAGAAATTCAAAATGAGTGTTAAAGAGCTAAGATCAAAACGTCAGAGGCCAGCCCTATGGCTCAGTGGTTAAGTTCATGCAGTTCACTCCAGCGGCCCAGGGTTTCGCTGGTTTGGATCCTGGGGGCAGACATGGCACTGCTCATTAGGCCACATTGAGGCGGCATCCCACAGGCCACAACTAGAAGAACCCACAACTAAAATATACAACTATGTACTGGGAGGGTTTGGGGAGAAAAAGCAGGAAAAAAAAGATTTGCAACAGTTGTTAGCTCAGGTGCCAATCTTTAAAAAAAAAAATGTCAGCAGGGCTGATTCCTCTAGAGGCTCCAGAGCAGAATGTGTTGCTTGCCTCTTCCTACATCTTGAGGCTGCCAGCATTCCTTGACTTCTGGCTGCATCACTACAATCTCTTTTTCCATGGTTACATTGCCTTCCACTCTACTGTAGTCAAATCTCCCTGTGTGTCCTTTTTTTGAGGACAGTTGTGATTACATTTAATGCTCACCCAGATAACCCAGAATAGTCTCCCCATAGCAAGATCCTTGATGTAATAAAAGTGTAGCCTTATTAATATTTACCTTACATCAATAGTTTATATCAAGTCTTCTGTTGGAAGTGTAAGGACCATTGAAGAAGTTGAATGGGGGCTCTGGTCTCCTACCCACAACCAATCCTTACCCAGAACATTTTAAATTTTATCTATTTTGTGTAATCTTTCATTTGAACAAAAAGTTCTAAGGCTGAAAGCAGATGATTACTACCTCCATGGCATGTTGCTCAGTTTGGCTTTGCTTGATGTTTTCTCCTGACTGCATTGGGGTCATGCATTTTTGGCAAGAATACCACAGAAGTGACATTGTGCCCTTCTCTGCATATTTTTGGGGAGTAGATGATTTTGATATGTCTTGTTACTGACATATCACCATTATTGATATAGCACCATTATTACTTGGTTATGGGATGGTGTCTGCCCAATTCCTCCACTGTACAGTTGCTGTATTTCCCTTTTTCATTATTAAATACCTTGTGGAGATACTTTGTGACTATGCAAACATCCTGTTTCTCATCAAACTTTAGCTCACTAATTTTAGCTTCTGTTGATGGATCTTGCATGCAACACTTATTTTTGTATTGTTTACTGAATGGTGATTTTCTATTTTCCTCATTCCTTCCACATATATTAATTGATATTCTCTATGGAACAGCTATCTCTTCTTTGCTATTACTTAATCATTCACTTATTTCTGTCAGTTTGGACTCATGGATATTTATTTTATTTTCTGGATTTTAATCCAATATTATCACTTATTTCATTGCTTAGATTATTCTAGCTTTAGCCATTGGGAACTCCTTCAGGTTAGCTTCTGTGTGCTTTTGACATATTCCCATCCTTTTTTGAGCACTTCCTTTCATCTGACTCCACAAAATGTTCTAGGTTTATCTTTTATTTTCCCTGCCCCAGCCCCGCAATCAGCCATTTCTCTAAGGAGTCCTAATTCCTTTTATTCGGGAATAATATTTAGAAACCAGGATCTGGACAATAAGTGCGCTTATGTTGCTGCTGGGGTGTCATTATTATCTCTAGACCCTCCAAACAGACAGAACTTGGAATTATATGCATGTATCATTACTATACTAAGTCTCAGGAGTTAAAATTCTCAGAAATGTCTTCCATATTCTGTTACTTGGATAAATATGCAATTAATGTAAATTTTAAAGACCTCCTGAGAAGATTGGTCACTTGTTTCAGGGATAAATTTTCCTTGCAAATGCTGTAAACTGGGGAATTGGGAGTAAGTACTTTGTTTTCTTTTTGCAGTAATCTTTATCATATATCTTGAAATATTGAGGTTTCCTTAGACAATTCGTCATTGTTAAACTTGCAGTTTGGATGTAAAATTGTGTAACACATTGTATTCTTATTAAATTTTGGAAAGCTACCTGGGAACCCAAACAAACTATCTTATATAGCAGAGAATTGAGTTCCTGGGAAATTATCAGCTCATTTGATACAAAGATGTTAATTGTACAATTTTTTTTTTCCCCGTTAAGGTGGTTTCATGGATTATAACCATTTGGATATTTGGTTCACTAACAATTTTCTTACTGGCCAGAGTTCTTGGTGGAGAAGTAAGTGGTTAATTTTGAAAATAGCCTTTGTTTTTTATGGTAAGCTTTATTTTTGATACTGTAGATACTATCACTAGCTATATTCATCCTAATTGTTTCTTGTCTCATATTTTCTTTTGAGTTGTGCTACTTCCTCCTTTAAGATGATCAACATATGAGTATTGTGCATACTCAATAAATATTACAAAAAATGAAGAGGAAAGAAACAATTGCATCCCACCATAAGTAATTTACAGCTTTTTAGGGAAGCACACAGTTCATTCTTTCTTACAGTAGTGCTCAAACTTTTTGATCTCAGGTCTTTATGTTGGTTATGTTTATCAATATTTATCATGTTAGAAATTCTTTTTTAAATTAAATATGTATTTATTCACTTAAAAATAAACCAAATACATTTTAACATAAATAATACATTTTTAAGAAAAATAACTTTTTCAAAACAAATAAGTGAGAAGAATGGTATTATTTTACATTCTTACAAGTAGCTTTAAGGTCTGGCTTAGTGGCAGCTAGATTCTAATATCTGCTTTCTGCATTCAGTCTGTTATGATATATTGTTTTGATTAAAGTATACGGGAAAAAAAAGGCCTCACACAGATATGTAATTGGAAAAGGGAGAGTATTTTTAATAACCTTTGTGGGTGATTGTGGATATTCTTCTCTGATACTACACCAACACTGAAAGAGTAGTAGTTTCTTAAGGGTTTGCTATAGTGAGGAATCTTGGACCATATGAATGAACTTTTCATTCTCTGTTTCATTGAAATTCACTTTGGATGAATCTTTTTACCCATGCGTGGTCATTAGGAAAACTGATTGACTGAGTTTTGCAGATCTTCCAAATGTTGACATGTTTTATTATACAGTATCAGAAAATCACATTCATTAATGTCACCACCCATCTCATCAGGAATCTGTATGTATTGGAAAACTGTCAAGCTTACAGTGGTGGGTACAAGTTTTCCAAAATTCAACTCTTCACTCAAACAGTTGTACAGGTGCTCTTCTTTGGGATAACAGTTGAATCAGGATACAGCAGAAATACTTTCTGCGTACTTCCCATTTTGTTATACAGAATATTAAAAAGGTCTATGCTCAATGGTTGAAGTTTAATAAAATGAATCATTTTATCTGCTTCATTAAGGACATTCTTGAGTGAAACTGGCTTTTTTTTTCTTCTTTCTCTGTGTGTGTGTGCTAGTATAGAACACAGTAACTACCAGTAAAGTTTATGCCATCTTGATATGTTTTAGCCACCACTGCTTTTGCCTTATTAATACCAATATTAACCTAATGAAAAAGGCAAATAATGTTTTGTTGCTATTATAAAAAATAGTTTTGATCTTCCAGTCTTCTGGAAGAGTCTCTGGGACCCCCAGGGGTCCATGGGCCACACCTTGATAACCACTGCTCCATTAAATAAGACTTTTTAAATTACTGTAAACTTAGGAATTATAGCAGTTTATTCTGTGGAGAGAGTAAAGCAGAGGGGATGCCAGGGAGAGTTACGATGTGGGTGCTGAACTTGAATGCCACATGCAGAAACCTTGAGCACTTTCCTCACACTTGGTGGAAAGATCTGCCAAGTCTGTTAACTTAGCTCTTGTTCGTCTGCTTTCCAGCTCCCCAAGTTGTGTTGCTATTGTCCCATCTTCTCTTCTCCTGTTTATGCCGCTTATAAGTAGGAGTTTCTTTTTTCCCTTCCCTTTTAATGGAGTTTCTGGGAAATTAGATATATGTGCTCAATCCATCACCTTAACCTAAAACTCTTGAATGAGTTTAGAATACTGTTTATCTGAGAAACTTTTTCACTCTTCATATAGACGTTTAAAATAATTCTAATAGATACTTAAAGTTACGCTTGTTCACATATTATTTTTTATATCCTATACAAAACCTTATATAGTATTTATATGACAATAGATATCACTAAATATTTTGGTAATTTAGGACTGTTGATGGAGGAATTGAGACCTGGATCTTAATCTGAACTCTGTCACCTACCAGCTTTGCTTTCTAAGAATCAGTTTCTTCATGATGGGGACAATAATACCTGCTTCATAGGGTTGTTATTGCATTTGATCTTCGCAACATGTTGAAGCCTTATCACAAAGCTTGGCACACAGTAGCCACTGAAAAAATGTTTGTGTCTTCAGTCTCTTCTGCCTGCTCTCCCTTCCCTTCTGATTCTCAGTTGTCACATCTAGCTTTTCTAGACCTTGAATTTTTTTGTCTGACTAAGATGCTGTGGTCCCTTTAAATAATCCTCCTACAATTTAAGGGAAGTATTGACGAAGTGTACTGTAGAGATATACTGAAGGTAATTGTATATGTAAGTCTGAAGCTCAAAAGAGAGAGAAGGACTGGAAATGTAGATTTGGCTATCATCAGAAAATTAGTGATAATTGAAACCATGGTGGGTTGGCGAGATTGTCCAGGAACATAGGAGACTGTATGATAATTTGAATTATAATGGGTATGATACTTAATGATGTCTTCTTAATTCTCAGATTTATGTAAGTACAAAAAAGGCTATTTGATGTTCAATTGTGACTGAGTGTCTTGATTTCTGTGATATTTACTTAAAGTTTTGAAAATTCACAGGTTGCCTATGGCCAAGTTCTTGGAGTTATAGGATATTCACTACTTCCTCTCATTGTAATAGCCCCTATACTTTTGGTGGTTGGATCGTTTGAAGTGGTGTCTACACTTATAAAAGTAAGTAGTGTGTATTGTAGAAAGTAGTTTATTGTTTTTCAATAACAAAATTAGATGTTCTCTAGCTAAGAATATTGCAATCTATAACTATTTATCAAGCAGTTGGTAATATTTTGGAACAGTGACCTTACTCACTGACTTTACCAATTATATTTCTTTTATTTTCCCTTTTTAATCACCAGGAATTACAATGTATGTCTAGGAGGGAATAAAGAACAAAGAACAAATCAGGCCTCAGGATATTACACTCAGAATTTTTTTAATGTTGAATTTTTCTTCTCTATACTTTTAATACAAGTTCAGCTGACTTAGATTTTGTGGGAGATATTTATTTAAATTCAACTGGACATTTTATTTAATAACTGTCACTCCTACTTGAATAGTAAATTCCTTATCAAATATGGTAGACATGGTTCTGGTAAGTTGGCTTTTCTGTATTGCGGAGATCAGGACTTCTTTTCAGCATATGTACCCCATTTAAAATGTTTACTGATAATATTAAGTATTAATAATAAGCAGTAATTTACCTTAAATTTTGAACAGCTTTGGAAGTAAATGACTGCTTTAGCACATGTATGTATATTACATAGTGAATGTAATTTTTTTTTCCGTGTGGAAAAATGTAACTATTTAAGACCATCACTGTCAGAGCTGCCGTTATATAGCCTTCACGCTAAAGTATTTATTTTAAGTAGAGCCACTTAATTTTTATGACATTTGGTTTTATTTAAAGTTCATTACTAATTCCAATATAAAAAAAATGATTCCTTTTAGAATTGGGTAACTACAGGCAAATACTGACGTTATATAAGCATTGTCCATTGAGAAGAGTGTAGATTTTGGAGCCAATCGGTTCTAAATTCAAATCCTGGTTCTGTCACTTACATGCCGTCTGCCTTGGGGAGATATATTTTCTTTCCTCCTCTGCAAACTGAGAATCTTAATTACTTTTTAGAGTTTGTTATGAAGATTTTAAAGTTTATGTAATGCCTAGCACAGTGCTTGGCACAGAGCAGGCACTCAACTGGTAGCTGTTATTATTACAAATATTATAGAAGAATATTTTGAGAACATCTTTGTATGTTTGAACTATTTGAACACTTTAGAGACCAAAGAGAAGATCTTTCTTTCGTCTACATTCTAGTCCTAAAATCTTTTTCTTTTAATTGGCATTAATTAACTCTTAGTTTGAAAGTCTTGCAGTGTAGGAGCTAGCTCCATGATGGCATTTAATTAGCATTAGTGAACATACCACTTTACTGAATCATTCAGGATCACTTCCTGCTTGTGTGTTGTTTTGCTTGGGTTTAAGCTGTCTGAGTATTTCTGAAACTATTCCCAAAATTGCTAAAACCATGTCCTCTGGTTATATTTAGTCATTGAGTTCAACTGAAAATTGGTCCTTAATATTTTTTATACAACATATGAATGTACTTTTATAAAATGGATAAATCTTTTATATCATTAAAAATTTAGGGTAAAATTATTTTTAAACCACAGATTTTTCTTTGCCAAAATTTTTTTCCTAGTTACTTAATCTCTGTGTAGTGAGCTGTTGTACATGTATCTTGTTTTAGTCCAAGGTTCGTTGAGAAATATGTTGCAAAACTCTCATAATTTAACTCTAGCATTAGAATACGTTTAATCTACAAGCACTAATTTTTTAACATTAAATCTCTATAACTCTTACCAATCTTGAACCATTTATTTACAACAAGAAATTTAATCATGATGTACAAATGCAATTTACATGATTTTATTTCATAAATTTCCCTATACTTTTCTGTAGGTTTAAAATATTTTGTAGGTGTGTTTTTGTTTTTGTTTTTAGTTTAAAAAGGACAGTGGAAATTTGGACCATCTCAAATACATTTTCAATCAGTCTGCTGATATTTATTTTTTACCTCTGAGGGCGATTTTGGCCCCCAAAGGCATTTGGCAGTATCTGGAGACACTTTTTTTGTGTCACAAATGGGGTAGGGGTGGAATGTTACTCATACATAGTAGATAGAGACCCCAGATACTGCTAAACATCCTATGCTGCACAGGTCAGCTTCCTACAACAATTATCCAGCCCAAAAATGTCAATAGTGCAAGGTTTCTATTGTGCCAAGTCCGTTTCTATTATTTCTACCCTCAAAGTTCTTCCTTCATTTTATTCTATAAAATGCCTCCAGTGACTGCATCAATAGGTACTACATAAATTTCCAGTGGAAGTAATTTATAATTAAATATATGTATAATCAGAAAACCGCAGTATATTTAATTAAACTCTTGACCAACATTTTATGTTTTTTTCCTTTTTATTTAATCCTATACTTCCACCTATTCCTGGGAAAATGCTGTGATATCTAATAAATGTTGTGTAAAATCTTTACTTAATCTGTTTTCTTCTTAGAAGAAAAAAAGGAAAAATTTCTTCTTTGTAAGAGTCAATTAGGTTTCTTTCAGCAATCAAATTTTTTTTAGCAATTTGACCCAATAATAGTTTTTCCAAAAGTTGCTTTCTCTTAAATTACCAGGGACACTTGTTAAAGTCTGATAACTACACCCTTCCCTTAGAGATTCTGATTGAGCAGATCTAGAATGAATCCCAGGATTCCCTCCTTAACAGGCACCCAGGTGATTTTATGTTTAGATAAGTTTGATAACAAAAGACCAGTTGGAGAAGTCAAGGAGCAGAGCAAAGATGAACGTTCTTAATAAGTTTTAAATATGCTCCATAAATTTTTCTTTTTACCACAGTTAGTTCTAAGGCTTGTTTTAAAAAAATATTGTAAATGTTATTTTTACTCTGTGATACCCAATATGTTAATTGACTTGCTAATACGCTGCCTTTTTGTCTTTTTTTGTTTGTTTTTTTAAAGCTGTTTGGTGTGTTTTGGGCTGCCTACAGTGCTGCTTCATTGTTAGTGGGTGAAGAATTCAAGACCAAAAAGCCTCTCCTGATTTATCCAATCTTTTTATTATACATTTATTTTTTGTCCTTGTATACTGGGGTGTGATCTAAGTCATATGTGAGTAGAAAAAGACAACGTTATATTTGTGTGTAGCCTGGGAATTCTTGCTGAGGGGATTGAAGAAAACCTGTTGTTGGTAAAATTTTACGTGTTCCAGATGTAAAGGAAGGGTTAAGGTCTTTTTAAAACAATATTTTTTGTATTTAAGCAATTGTAGTTACCTGGATTTTTTTTGGTCAGAATTCTAAATTCTGTTTGATTCTTCATATTCCAGTGAATAAAATATAAAAGCATTGTGTTTTTTAAGATTGTGTCAATCTTCACCTAAAAATTGTGCCAAAAGCACCTGGAATGATAATTATATCTCACTTGAAGGGTAAATATGACAACTTCCTCATAATCTAAAAGTGCAATTGTTTTCTTTAAATGGTTTTCTCTTGCATCACAGATCCTGTAGATATATATTTATATTTATACATATATATTTATGAAATAATTCTTATTATTCACAAAATATATTTCTGAATAGCCTAAAAATTAAGATATTTTAAATCTGATGCTTAAACTTTCTTTAATTTGGCCATTAACTTTTTATTTAAAAATTTAAATTTTTTTTAAATTGTATATAATTTTAAAATCTCATAATGCTTCAGTATGTCCTTGTTAAGAATTCTTAACAACTAAAACTAATTTTAACAGCTGCTGATATAGCTTTGGTTTGTTTGGGTGTGCTTTTAAAAACCATTTTGAATGTCTAAACATCTGATTTAAAGTTTCTGTTTATCTTTCTGACCAAAGGAGCAAGAGGTATAATGGATATAGCATTCATTAAAATTGTCAATATCTAGAAGAACAGTAATATTTGTAGCATTAGTAAATATTTTTAAGTGGTATTCCTAAGTCATAAAAATAGCTGGAAAGAGACCTTTAAAATCTTGTGGTCCTGAACAATGTTACATGAAGTAGAAAAAAATAAAATGCTTCCCAGCTCTGTCTTTTGTTTTATATCACCTTGTCCTTTATTACTTGATATTTTAACAAGTATCATGTACTCTTTAACAAGTGTACAAATTTACTAAGGGCAATATTAAGAAATTTTAACTAGTGAAATTTTTGTTGCAAGTGATTTCATAGACTCTAGATGTACCTTTAATTAATATTACTTTGTAAAGTAGATAAAATGTTTTATTTATGTCCAAAAACTAGCAAATGCCTAATAACTATTAGCAAATTATCGTGTTATCCTTTCTGGTCTCAGCTGGAGAGTTAACTGTTCTCCTCAATATGATAACATGGCATCTCTCGGTATGTATGTGTTCCTTTAGCAGCCTTATCCATCAGGAAATATCTGGCCACTCTAAAGCAAGATATCAAGTCTCTCTCTCCCTTCTCTCTTCTCCTCCCGCAAAAAAGGAAGAAAAAACTTATTTTAAGCTGCAGGAAAAGTGTGGAGCTACCTTTGAGCCGGAATAATGTGGAAAATTACATCTGCTGATGTTTTAAACAGGCTTAGGAAAACAGATTAGAAGCACCAGAGGGATAGAACGTCTAGAACCTAAAATAATATAAAGTAGTGTGGAAGGATCTATAGCTACAGAGCAGCAATTGTAAAGTAGGCATTTGTCACATTTCAGAAGTTCCTGAGGTCAATACTTTGTTCAAATGAGTTATTATATTTGATGTTGATAGTGTTGACCCTGGAATTTTCCTCAAAAAGCTTTGGGGTCCATACCATACCAGGGGGTAGAATTTTACTAAGCAATAAGTCAAGGCATTTTAAGACCAGCTCTATCAAAAAATGGTTTAATATTTTTAAGCTATCATCTTTTTAAGATGTGAATGAAAAGTTCACCTACATGCAGCATGTTTATTCCTAATGACGTAAGATAAAATGAGGTATTTGTGTTCTAAAAAGTTATTTAAAAATAATAGCATTTCATCTTGGAAACTGCCCTGTTTAGGGTGTATATAGATACAATGTATAATGTTTCAAACTCAGCCAACATCTTCTTGTGCTCATGAGCAAAGCAGTTAAAACAGGTTGTCAGTTTGAAAACATGATTTGTAAATGTGTGCAAGATACAGTACTGCTACAGCTAATAATGCTAAGCTAACCCTAACAATGTCCTCTCCTTGGGTTTTTATATAATATTTTCTAAGTCGTAGTGATTTTAAATTATGATTTTCAAACTAATTATTAGTTCATTAGTATTTTTAAAGCAGAACTAGCCAGATAGTCTCTTCTAGTTGTGTGTCTGTCTGTGTGTTTTGTGTTATCAGTTGTAGTAATCCTAATGAATGTTAATACTCAAAAAAAGAATTATGAGGCATATTTACTTCTGTTTCAAATTGATTGTAAAATAATTGAAATTTTGATTAAAAATCAGTCTATATAATTCTCATTGTACTAAAAAACAATTTAGGAAGATTTGTAAAGTTTTATGAACCATTATTAAACTTGCTTATTTCTAAGGTCTATAAGACAGTTTTCTAAGTAATGATGTGTCTGTTTCCGAAAATTTCCCAAATATTAATATACTAATATAGAGTTCTAAATTAGTGAAAATTTTCATTGACTTAAAACATGAGGTAGATATTTTTGTTTAAATAGTTTAAAATTTAGTCAGCTTATTTTTTAAAATTCTGATGTAATAAAACGTTAAATAAAATAATGCTACAAACTAATAAAAACAATATTTTTCATATTCAACAAAACTAATTGAATATTTTAAGATTGTTTTTATTTATTTTTTACACTTTTGTTAGTGTATATTTTAGGCAGTTTTAGGCTTTAGGGAATTGTGACATGTTTGTTAAGTTTTGTTAAAGTGTCTTACTTCCATACAATTCTTTATTTGTTTTTGTAGTTGAATGAGTTGTGTTTATCACTTTTTCTTTGCAAGGAGAACAACACACATGAGGAACCACAGGGTGTCTCAGAATCTTAAAAAGGACTTATTATTGGATTTAGGCTTGTGTTAATACAATTTTTTTCGATTGCATCACATGGCAGTCTGAAATAAGTCTTAATAGGGCTAAAAATCACCCTCAGCAATTCTGTGCTCTGATATTTTAGCCACATAAACAAAATAATAGTGTTTTATTAGCCTCTTTCATAAATGCTTTTTTTAATTGAATTGTATTACACTTTACCTTGTACTACATTTTAGTTTCCCTTTGAAAACTGAATTACAAGAGCTCTATTCCTCATTTGTGTAATTTCCTGGCAGTAGTTTGTGTGTTTGAGAATTTGCCACTTTTTAAAGAAATCCCAAAATGTGATTTTGATGTCAGTAAAGACTAGACCTTGTTATATCTTTGCACTTGAAATCATGCTATTTTCTGAAGAAAGTTCCACTTGTGAATACATTTTCTTTTTAACAAATGTATAAATTTTAGACTCTACCATGTCTTTATGGGTGTAGTGGTCTGGAAAGAAAGGGTTAAGAGAATATTCCCTGTACATTTAAACAGGAAGCTTAGGGCTAGGTTTCTCACTTGAAATTCTTTTGATATGCTGAGGTTGCCAACTGGAGGCTAATTTAGGGAAAGAAGGTTGGGATGATTAAGATGGCATTAGTAAAAGAATTCCCTACTTTACATTTTGATTGGTAGCAACTCTGGTTTCACCTTTTCTAATTTTCAGCAAGATATCCACAGTTTTCTACTGTGAAGATATTTAATGTATAGTTTGCAAGTTCTTGAAAAAAATTCCTTAAACCTCCCTTCTGAACAGTTCAGTGTATGCTAATGCTATCACTGAGATTTTTTTTGTTAGATATTAATATGAAAAAAATATTTTTTATAAAATTTTTAATTCAGCTTGTAATTAGCATATAAAGGTTATTAATAATTATGGGGGAAGTAAGCTTTCCTACGTGTAATAATTTTGTTAAATTAACACTTGGACTATAAGAAAATTAGATTTATAGAGAATAGAAACCTTGGTTTTTCTATAATAGTTGCCAAAGAGCAATTTTTATTAAAGACCGAACAAGCAAAAAAAGCTTACCAGAGTATTGACACAGTATCAAGTGAAGTTACACAAAATGACTGGTTATGGGAGAAATTTGTCATCTGGTGATAAAAAGGAAAAGATAATATTAAGTGAATTGCTTGCTGCTGTTCACATAATAAGCATTCATTGTTGAAGGCAAATGAAATTCTACGTTTTTGCTCAATTTTATAATGATTCTACTTGCTTTTGTGGAAATAATCAGTTGCTATGCAAAGTATCACTTAAATAGTGCACACCATTTGATAATGAAACAATCTATATGTTTTGTAATCCTTATGCAAAATTACTTTCTATGTTAATTATAGTCTCTCCACAAAACAGTAAAAATATTCTTGTTCGTAATGATGGGCCTAGGTGCTTAGTTCCTCATATTCAGTCTTCTTTGCCAAGTGGGATTTAGGAAAATCTTTTGCCTAATACAAATTTATTTTCAAAGAATGGTACTGGTAGTGGCCCCAAGAATGAAACATTCGGAAGAAACAGCATTTCAGTTGGGTACCCTGAATATGAAAGAACGGATATGCATCAAGTATTTATTGACTCCTTTCTATGTGCCAGGTACTGTGCTGGTGCAGGGATACGATGATATGCAACACCCTAACCTTAACGAACCACACAGGCACACCTTAACCTGAACCAGTGTTGTAGGGGAGAGAGCCAATTAGTTTCACATATTGTAAAACAATTGCAACAAATGGAGAGAGGTCTGTGGCGGCAGGAGAGTGTATAATGGGGGAATTGGAGGAGAAAAGCCTTCCCTGAGGCAGTGATGCTGGAGCTGAAATCTTAGGGAAAAGTAAAAGTTAACCAGGCAGAGAAGGGAGGGACTACTATTCCTGACAGAGGGAATAGCAGGTGAGTAGAAGGAAATGAAAACCCTTCTGGCTGAAGTTTAGTAGTTTATGAAATTGAACAGGTAACTTGACACTACACCATACCTGACATTCTAAACCATGTTTTCTTCGTGAGAGCTTTTGATCAGAAATATAGTATCAGAAACATGTTGTTTTAATACTAAAGGCCAACATAGGCAATTCTACTCTTGATATATACCCAACAGAAATGCATCTATGTATGCCGTAAAAGAGATGTGTGTATAGTAACATGAATCATAACAGCCAAAAACAGGAAACAGCATATCCATCAACATAGAATAGATAAGTATAATTATACAGTGGACTCTTACGCAATGAAAATGAATGACTAGAGCCACATGCAAGAACATGGAGAATTTCACAAGCATTATGTTGAGTGAAAGAAGTGGACACACAAGAACTTGTATTACTCC